GGGCGTTGCTATTTGGGTGTTAGTTCCTCTCCGAAAATTCTCACTGGGGCAGGGCTTGTGACCTCAGAACGCTCACAGGAGGCTGAACCTGGAGAACAGGTCTGAACCTCTAGCTGACCCTTGGATGGGGCGGGGCCTAGAAGACAGGAAAGGGTCCAGCACTCAGCACTGGCTTGGGGTAGAGCCTCGGTGACCGCAAAACCTGCAATGAGGGGCGGGACCTGGACGAGAGAACTGGCCCTCCCGCAGCTATCCGATCAAGGCCTGCCCCAAACTCGCTGGGGGTGGGATCTCGCGGATCTCAAAGAACGTCTTCTGGGCCTAAAAGGACCCGGTCTCCAACCCACCGGGAAACTCCTCGCTTACCTCTGCAACACCTCCGCCTGGCTCTGCAGCGCCACCCGCAGGCGCTCCAATTCCTTACAGTCATCTCGGCTGCCGCAGTCCGCCGGCAGCACGAAGAGAGCCGCGGTCCCCAGCCCCGCGCTGTTCAGCAGGGCCGCTGTCTGATCCCGGGCCTGGTCTTCATTTTGTGAATCCCCAGGACGGAGGTTCCGCACAGCCAACAGCGGGGTCCCACGGGCCAGGGCGGCCCGCGCCGCCTCTCCCAGCGCTGGGGCCAGGGGCTCCCCATTCCCCTCGGGGTCGGGCAGGACCAGTACCAGCACATCGGCCTCCGCCGCCCAGGGCCCCGGCGCTGCGGGTGGGCAGCTCAGCTCGCCCAGGAAGAGGCCGGGGCCCGCCGCTCGCAGGCTGGGGATCCCTGAGTACGGCCGTCCCTCGGGGATCTCTATCGTCTCCACATTTCTGTCGCACAGCGCTGCAATCAGAGCGGACTTTCCAGAGCCCGGAGGCCCCAGGAACAAGGCGGTCACGTCGCCCCGCGGCGGTGGCATAACTGGAAAGCAAAAGGGTGGGGCGGACACGGGTCAGGGAGTACCCAGCTTTTTCCTTTCCCAGTCATCCCACTCTGGTGTCAGACTTCAGTCCTTCACCCTGTCCCCTTCCATTCTTGGGTGTCACTCCCAGGGAGAAATCCGGCGCCCAGGCCCTATCTATTCCCCAGGGATCCGGGCGTCTTGTCCGCCCTTTTTCTGGATACATTTTATCTTTCTGTTTCAAAGATCCGGCCTCCAGCCCCTCCTCCCTCAGACACAAAGATGTTTTTATCCCCCGCTCCTCCCTTCCAAATCACTAACCGGGCAAAAAGCCGGCACACCCGAGAGCACAGCTGGCGGCGGCTGATCAGCCGCTGAGAAGCCCCGCCCCTAGGGTCCGGCGGACGGAGGCCGAAGAGGTGAGAGCGCCCGGATTTGGGAACGTCCAGACACGTTCCAGGGGCTCTTACCTGACGTCAGTCCTTTAAGGAGGGGGTGTGTCTTGGAAGCGCGACCTCGGGGATACGGCCCTTCGCGGCGCCTGCGCAAAGCAACAGACGTACGCCTGCTCCTCAGCTCCTGCAGCCCGCGGGGCTGGGAACAATGAGGGAACCAGAGCGCCTGCGCTCCATGAGCACCTAGCCACACGTGCGCCAGAAGCTGAGGTCTGTACGGCAAGGGTGTCATGTCACGTCATCATAACGCACTCCAGTGCAGAGAAGGACCCCTCCTCCCGTTACTCTGAGGACCCGGTTGGCGCGACTGCATCACTGCCGGATGGCATCCGGCATCTCGGCTTGGAGAGGCTCCTCAGGCGAAAGGGCATGGAAGCCACTGGGACCTTGAGCCTCGGTGGGCCCTACCCCGCTTCCCTCCGGGTGGCGGCGCTGTGACGAGCGACGGACCGGCGCAACGAAAGGCAGCCCTCTGCTGCCTGGAGAAAAGCGGAGGCCTGGGCTACCCGCCTCGGGAGGAGGGACCCGAGGGCAGTGCTCGGGGGCAGCGGGACGCCGCGGTTGAAGGCGCGCGTGGGCGGCGGGGGCTCAGGGTGGAAGGAGAGTTACAGGATGTCAGAGAAAGATGCCTCCGGGGAAGAGGCGAGCTAAAGCCTGGATGCCACTACCTGCCTCAAGACACGTGGGAGACGGGGGCGAGGCTGGTGTCAAAGATCCAGGGTTCCGTGCCCTGAGTTCACGGAATTAGTTTGATGTAGGTCATAGGTCGCACACAGGTGAGAAGGCTCTAAGGGGTGTCACAAACCTAGGGAGTCGAATCTTTTGGGAGGGTTGAAACTTCTCTAGGGCAGAGCTCCATTAGGTTACAGTTCAAGAAGATGGTGTCTTACGGGGGCAAGAGAGCCCGTCAAAGGTCATAGGATTTGCGGCCCTTTAACGCTGTAGACAGATGAGCGACTTCACTTGATTTACTGTTGTCATGCGTGCTACTCTTGACCAGAGGGATCCCAGCCACTATGGAGGACCCGCATCCTGAAGAGACCATGGAGCAGCAGGATTCGTCCAAGGAGAGGAGTCCCCGCAGTCCAGGAGGCGACGTGTGTGAGTGCTGCTGGCCAGAGGAGGGTGGGGTGCAGGGGCTGAGGCTCCTGAAAGGATTTGCGTAGCATCTCAATGTCCAAGTCGTTACAAGGACTTGCCTGCTGGGGAGGGGCTGTAACAAATGGTTTCTGAGCTGCCCTACCGGGAACCGCCACACTCCACCCTTACTCTTATTCTGCTCAGATGTACCCACTCTGATCTGTCCATGTTAGCTTCAAGGAGCCACAGTTCAGAGGGACAGAGTAGCATCCAGAGGGGCTTGGGGTGGGAGATGTGACTGGGAAAGGGCAGAGACTGAGAGGAAGCCCAAGGTTCCGGTCCCAACTGGCCCCCAGACTTTCAGTGTGACTTGGGCCTGGGTTTCCCAGTCTGTCACAAGAGGCTGCGGCTACTCCGGTGACTCGGCTGTTGTTATGGGGATTAGCGGCAGAGAAAGGGAAGGTTTGATGTTAACCAAGGTAGCCAGTTCGACAGAGTGGTGGCAACAGTTTCTGCTGAATGCTTATTACATGCCAGGCGTGTTCTATGAGTTAAACCGTCATTATCTCAGTCCTCCGGACAGACCCTTTGAACTTGGTTAAGTATTACTTTCGGGTGAGAGAATTGAGGCAAAGAGATTATCTGTAACAATGAGCCGCCACCCTGTCAAGGCCCTCCAGCCAAAGACCACCAGGAACACGCCTACAGTTGAACAAGTTGGTTTATTGCTAACAGCAGCTAAGGAAGCATACGCACCCTGGGGCACCGTGAAGTCTGCTCAGTAAGAGTTAGGACTTATCCTAGGATTGGGGCTTTGTGGTAGGTGATTTGGGGAAAGCTTCAAGGAAGGGTTTTGCTGTGGGTTGGATGTTGCCAGTAAGCAGAGGCAAAAGACAGGCTGGCAATCTTAAATCTTCTCTGGGAGGGAGGTACCAAGGCCCCGGCTGCTCTTCCCTTTCTCAGCACCAGTAACTGCAAACCACTGTGTAGCACTGTTCTAAGCACTTTATATAAAGTAATTCATTTACTCCTCCCGACCACCCAGTGAGGTAGATTCTGATAGGGTCATTACCCCATTTTCCAGATGAGGAAACTATTGTATTTGTCTAGGAAGAGGTAGATCCGGGATTCGGTTCCAGGCAGTTTCGCTCCAGGGGTTGTGCTCACGGCTCTGTTGGAAGGGCAGACCCCCGGGGTTCCAGTTCTGACTCCATGGGTTCATTTCATACCTAGCCTCATGACTGTAGGCAGGTTGCCTCACCTTTTTGAGCCTCAGTCTGCTCATCCATAAAACAGGCCCAGTAATAGTTTGTCTGGACCACTGTCCAGCCCTGGCATAGAGCCTGGCACGTGGTAAGCACTGAATGTGAATTGTTGGCATGACTCTGGGGCTTGGGAGAGGTCCTGGTGACTCTTGCTGGCTTCCCCCGACCTCTCCCCACGTCCCTCAGGCCACCTGGGGGCCCCGCAGTGCACCCGCTGCCTCATCACCTTCGCCGATTCCAAGTTCCAGGAGCGTCACATGAAGCGGGAGCACCCAGCGGACTTCGTGGCCCAGAAGCTGCAGGGGGCTCTCTTCATCTGCTTCACCTGTGCCCGCTCCTTCCCCTCCTCCAAGGCCCTGATCGCCCATCAGCGTGGCCACGGTCCAGCCACCAGGCCCTCCGTGCCAGTTGCACCCGCCGCTGCCCCGCCTACCTTCCCCTGTCCTGACTGTGGCAAGACCTTTGGGCAGGCTGCTTCTCTGAGGCGGCACCGCCAGGCGCATGAGACCCGCACCCCTCCTGGCCCCTTCGCCTGCACTGAGTGTGGTCAGGACTTTGCCCAGGAGGCTGGGCTGCATCAACACTACATCCGGCATGCCCGGGGGGAGCTCTGAGTGAAGGTTAAGCCCTCCCTAGGGCAGCGGGGGTTCTGTGGCTGCTGGAACCCACCTCTGGTATAGGATGGGGGCCTTGGAAGGATTTGCTTCCCTGCCGGGACAGGCAAAGGACTTCTGATAAATAGGACCCAGAAGATTCTCATCTAGAGCTTCAGTCTTTGGAGGACACAAAGGCCTTCAGGGATACAGTGAAATTAGACAATAGTGAAATCTTTTGTTTAAAAAAAAAAAAGCAAGCAAAAGGGAAAATTGTTGTATCTCCCTCATTCCCAATTAAATAGTTTGAAATCACAACTAGCTACAGATTGTGTAATCACCTTTAATTCTTCCCAGATGGATGCCATGGGCCGTAGGAACAAGTTCCCCCAGATTTGTGCCTGAATGGGGGAGGGGAAGGCGAGGTGTTGTGGGACTGTAATGTCACTGGAAGGATCCCAGATGTGCAGCAACGTGGGCCTTTGGGGATGGGGCAGCCAAGTTGGGAGCTGTATTCTGAGTCATGTAGGGGTTGCAATCAAGTTCTTATCTCCTCCCACTCCACCCCCCATCAGTCTTTCCCACTCACAGAGGGGCCATGGTATTGGGTGGATTCGGGTGCACACACACACACACACACACCCCGATAATTTATTGCCCACTTAAGTAATTTTATGTACCATTCTGGTCTTAGAGTATTTTTTTCTGGGTGTAGGTGAGATGACATGAATAAAATAACAAATAGTATCTAAAAACAGAAAAGGTCTGTATTGAAATATCTAAACAAGGAACTCTGGCCTTTGAGCAGATATTCCCAGAAAATATAAGGGCACAGGGATGGGGGAGCTCAGGTCAGAGCTGGCCTGGCCCTGCAGGGAATCTGGTTTGGGATCAAACAGAGATACCTTCTGTTTCCTGTTGTATTTGGCCAACATTGGGAGAGTTCCCATTAAGATCCTATTTTCAGCTCTTGAAAGGCCTAACCCTGTGGAGTGTCCCTCCAGGGCACTGCTGAATGTGGTCAGGACTTTGGGTGACCTGACCTGCCCTGCCCTTAGAGTCAATGGCCGGTGCCCTGCATGCAATAATTATAGATCCTATTCAAACTGATGGATGTTTTTAAAACCCACAGCGGGGACACGGTAGAGACTGATAGCTTTCCCCCAATTTTTAGCTACGTACGTGGTAGCTACAAACACAATTTCCCAAAGTCCCTTGCAGCTGGGTGTGGCCCTGTGACCCAGGTTCTTTCCTGGGTAGAGTGCTCAAGCTTCAGAGAGGGACACGCCTTTCCTGTACCTTTCCGCCTGGAGTGTGGACACGGCACCCAACCACCTAGGACCATGGTAGAGCAACAAGACAGCAGAAGCCTGCGTCACTTGTTGACTCCACAGAACGGAGTCCTCATCCTAGCGCTAGAAGATCCACTTCCAACGTTTATTTATTTTTGGGACAGAGAGAGACAGAGCATGAACGGGGGAGGGGCAGAGAGAGAGGGAGACACAGAATCAGAAACAGGCTCCAGGCTCTGAGCCATCAGCCCAGAGCCTGACACGGGGCTCGAACTCACGGACCGCGAGATCGTGACCTGGCTGAAGTCGGACGCTTAACTGACTGCGCCACCCAGGCGCCCCTAGAAGATCCACTTCCATACTACCATGTAAGAGAGAAATAAACCTCTATCTTGTTTAAGTCACCATTATTTTTGGTCTCCGTCACAGGCAGCGTAACTTACAGGCTGTTTGCAGCATAGAACAGCAGATCTGAGTCGTTGCAACAGAGGCCGTATGGCCCACAAAGCCTAAAATAGTAAAGGGCCATCTGGCCCTTTATAATAGAAGCTTGCTGACCTCTTGTCTAAGTGATAAGACATACAATCTACTCTGAGCCTGGAAACTGGGATTCCCACCCTGGGAAATACTACCTCTGGTAGGGGGCTGTGTGTGTGTGTGTGTGTGTGTGTGTGTGTGTGTGTGTGTGTATTTGTTTGTACAAGATTCGTGCAGGGCTAGCTAGCCTGGATCTCTTTGCTGGGGT